TAAGAATAATTTGCATTCTGATGATAAGCTTGTTTGCCCGTGTGCTTGTGTGTATGTATGCCTCCAATCTGGCCAAATAGCAATGATTAGCCCTTAGATTTTTATTCTTTAAAACTGGCATATTTGCATATTCAACATACCGATAAGTCAAATAAAGCAGGTCTAATTATGCTCTTTCACATTCTATCTTTATCTTGCCTTCGAGCAGATGTGGATAGCGGAGGAGGTGTTCATGGACCGATGGACCACAAGCATTCGGCCAACCTGAGTCGGATCCACCGAAATGGTCAGAAGCTGTTTGGCCGGAAAGGAAGATGGACGCAGCAGACGGAAAGCCTTAAACATGGACAAAGGCGTCTTTCGGAGACGGGCATGTGGGACTCGCAATCAGAATGTAATTTGCATATTTTCACTTTTTTTCCTTTGACTGCTTATATCAGGAGCCTAGAGAACTTCCTGCTATGCCGATTGGTTGGTCAAATATTAACATTTGGCAACCTAGTCAAGCTGGATAAATATAAGAAAAATCTTTTTATGTCTAACTCTTAAATATGACTTTTTACGATAGGGGTTGGGCTATTTTAAGCGAATTATCTCGGGGCAAATTGAAAGCAGCAAGAAGCATTTAATTCAACAGTCAGAATAACGCATCACGACCACAAAGACGACGCACTACTTATTATCTATTGCCGTGGAGGTTTTTAGTTTGTATGAAAGTAAATGAGGAAGCGATTTGTTGCTTGATCCCACCAGAAGACGACGGCCAATTGCGGCGGTTCTGCAGCCATTTGACTTTAAGACCTCCTTCAGGCGGGTGCAGTCCACGAGACGTCCTCCCTCGTGTCGGGTGAAAACGGGCGAAGCCGTCGTTTGTCATGCCCGTTGACGAACATCCTCACAGCTGGAAGTTAATCTTGCAAAAGTGCCAAGTTGCCACCAAGCCAGGAAGACTCGTACCAAAGCCAAACGGCTACAGAACAACACGAATCTGTCGTCGTCTTATGGTGAGACCAAGCTTCTTCTTCTTCTTCTTCTTCTTCTTCATTATGCACCTGCCCACGAAGTGGACACCTCCACAGCAACATCATCTCAAGAGAGTCATGGAAACTCTGGTTATTTTCGTATTTTACTCGATACACTTCAAATGCCAGAGATTATTGGTAGTCAAAGAGCAAGTTGTGATGTTGATATT